TTTATATAGATTTTGCATGTTAGAAAACCAAATGAAGAGGTAGCACAATTATTTATTTATGTAATGCAAACTAAGCCTTTAGATGAAGAATCTTGGAGTTCGTTATCTTTTGAGAATTTTGGTATATCTACATTCATGGCAGTACCTCACTTATATAAAACTAACCCTAAAAGCATTATTAATACTTTGTATCTGATTATGTAAATGTGTTAACATGACCCTAACATTGCTTCTTTTTCAATTCCTGACTCTCTGCTAATGAATCATTTCAGAACTCACATTTTGTGATTTTTAAAAATAATATTTACCTATATGGATAATTGAAATGTGTGAATGTCAGAAAAATTTAATTAATGACATGCAGAAATTGACAGAGAAGATAATTCCAACTTGGGAAGCAATCAGTAATCAACTTGGTAGTCTTTATGATTCCAAAATCTGATTCTGATTTTTTTTTAAATGTTTTATTTATTTATAGGAGAGAGAGAGACAGCGTGAGCAGGGGAGGGTCAGAGAGAGAGGGAGACACAGACTCCGAAATAGGCTCCAGGCTCTGAGCGGTCAGCACAGAGCCCGACGCGGGGCTCGAACCCACAAACCACGAGATCATGACCCGAGCTTAAGTCGGACGCCTAACCGACTAAGCCACCCAGGCGCCCCTGATTCTGATTTTTTAAATAACATCACTGTTTTGAGGGTATAGGACAAAGTTAATAACTACACCCAAATTGGTCACTTTCAAGCCAAATTATTGCAAAATATATTTAGCTATTTTTACTCATCATAAAAGATATAATTATAAACCTTAGTTTAATTTTTAGGATATTTTATGTGTCAATTTTCTTTTCCTTTTCTGCCATCCTAAATGAAACTCTTACTCTTTTTTAAAAAATTTTTTAGAGAAAAGGAGAGTGTGAGCAGAGGAGGGGGGGCAAGAAGGAGAGAGAGAATCTTAAGCAGGCTCCATGCTCAGGGTGGAGTCCAATGCAGGACTCAATCCTATGACCCTGGGACCATGAATAGAGCTGAAATCAAGTTGGATGCTCAACCAGCTAAGCCACCCAGGTGCCTGGAACTCTTACTCTTAAAAGCTTTCTTTCGTTCTCTTCACATTGAAGATGACCAACATGACTAGAAAAGGAATTTCCAAGCTATTCTAAGTTTCCTCATTGCACTATGCTATAAAATTCACCTACCCAGTTCCTTTAAAATCTGTAACAGTGCCACATTAAGTGGTCCTTTTGATCAAACATTAAATGAAATGGTTCTTCACCTTTTACTTATTTCTTACAGAATACCCTGAAGAGTATGACAAAAATTATTTTTTCAGTATATAAATGTAGTAATTTATAATTTAGCCAATGAAAATGGTACCAATTTCAAAGTTTATTCATGCAGAGATTACTAAATTACCAAAAACTGAAGAGTATTTTAAAGCAAGTGTCTTACTTTTAGATGTTTTGCTTTACTAGTTTTAATTTTTGACAAGAACATCTCAATCAAATAAGAAATTATAATCCAAATTAGCATAATCTGGGGCATTGTATAGCCTCTAAAACTGTGTTGTTTACTGTTAAGCTGTCCCCAAATTCTCACTTTATGCAGTAGAAAACATTTGGTTACTATTTCATTGCTAAAGATAATTAGCCTCCAATTTTCACAAATTATATTTTCACCCATGCCCCTTGCAAAGCCCAGGGACTACAGACTTGTCCAATTACTCTGACCCATCTCCTTAGGTGAATAAAAATGTAAATCAGTTCTTTCCTGTAAGAAATTAACCCATCACCTGCTAACCTCTAAGGTTGTATTTCAGTAGCTATTAGGCTGTCATTTAAATTTTATTTTCTTATAATAAACCCACAAATACCCAGTTGGTCACTATTAATATCAAGAAATATTGAAATCTGATACATGGGATATTTGCACTGTTGAAGAATGTCACAGCAAATTTCTTCTGAAGTCATACTTACTATTACTTTCATCTAAAACATGGGCAGTGGTATATAACTTCATTATTTCTGTAACTTATACTTTCATTCCCAGTTTTATTCATAAGAAAAGAAAAAGATTTTAACAAATATAATTGAAGAAGGATCGGATTGCTTACCTTATATTTTATGCATCTCAAGCACTTTTGCTTCAGCTGTGCAAATATATTTCCTAACCCCTTCCACCCTTTCCTCATCCTTACCTCCACAGACTATGTAAAATACATTTGTTTGCATTATTTTTTGGTTTTGAAAAGCTTTGTATAAATATAAAAGAAATACAAAAGAAAGAAACATTCCTGAACATAATAGAAAGTTACAATTTGCTCAGTGATAGAAAGAGAATGCTCCTCTATTTTTCTTGAGAAAATGTAAATTAGAGAATGAGAAGATATGACAGCTGAACAATCAAAGATAAAGAAGTAGTTGGCCAGGGAACCTTCCTTAGAAGAAAAGTAATATATATTTGTGAGCATAACTCACACCATACATATCAGCAAATGAGAGCAATCTGAGAGCAGCGATGATTCAGAAGTGAGAATAAATTGTTAGAGAACCTGCATATGGTCTAAAAATGACAAATCATCCTGATTAGTACAGTTTATTACTTGAGACTCTAAAATGTTTTTGTTCCTTCTAGAAACTTGCTCTGTGATGATTTCTTAATAAATACCTATTTTCTGCAGGCTAGTGTTGGAATAACTGTTCTATACCCCATTTTGATTCTGCCACACTACTTACCATTTCCCCAACATTGTCTACAGATATTTTCTTTGCCTAACACATTGCCCTATCTCATAGGTGCAAAATGTCTTTTGAGTTGAATGATGGAAAGAGTATATACAGTCCTGTTTTCCAGAGCTAGCAGCAATATGGACATGTAACCTCGTTCTTCTAGATGTTATTTCCCACCATGCCTAAAACTGTCATCCCCATACGTGGACTGGTTTCTTCTCCTCTCCACAAAAATATCTTACACTTGTTTGACTTCTTGCTTGATAAACCATTGTCACTTTGCTGGTATAAGTTCTATCCATTCCTCAAAGTCAATTTTAAGCCTCGCTTTCTTTCTTTTGTTTTGTTTCTGAGATTGAGAGACAGAGTGCGGGAGGGAGGTGGTGGACAGAAGAGAGGAAGACACAGAATCTGAAGTAGGTTCCAGGCTCTGAGCTATCAGCCCACAGCCCAATGCAGGGCTTGAACTCATTAGCCACAAGATCATGACCTGAGCCAAAGTCAGATGCTTAACCAACTGAGTCACCTAGACACCCCAAGCCTAACTTTCTTAATGAAGCCTCCTTTCATATCTCTTGCCTTCATTGATTATTCTTTGTTATCAGTGCCTACACCTGTAATACATAACATTCAACCTAAATGTTAATACAATGTACATATCTGGCACTGTACACAATTGTCCTTGTGTATTCATCTATGCAAATAAAATATTAAACAACTGTCTTTAATTTCTTATGCACATACATATAACCTAGTGAACCATTTAGAATATAATAAGTGTACAATAACATTTACAGACAGAAAACAATATGCAATCAGACATAAAAACATGCCTAGAAGTTATATTACCTTTTTCCCCCCAAAATTCTACATGTTTTTCTATTATTGGTAGGTATCCACAGACACTTTTAACAATAAATTTAGGCATTGCACAAGGCACTGGAGTCAGACTGGAGAGGTAGAATGAAATATCAGTGAAGTACTCCTCAGCCAATTGGTAACATATTATATTATCTTGGAATGTTTTGGGGGGTGCCTGGGTGGCTCAGGTGGTTAAGCGTCTGACTTTGGCTCAGATCATGACCTCACGGTGTGTGGGCTCAAGCCCTGCATCAGGCTCTGTGTGACAGCTCAGAGACTGAAGCCAGTTTCAGATTCTGTATCTCTCTCTCTCTCTCTGACCCTCCCCTGCTCGCTCTCTCTCTCTCTCTCTCACAGAAAAAAATAAAAACATTAAAAAATTACATTATCTTGGGATGTTTTAAGATTTTGTACAGTACAGTTAGAGGATGCTACAATTTTGACTCGTGAGTCATGAATCACAGCTCTGTATGCTCATAATAAAATTCAAAATGCCTCTCTCTTGAATTAAATAATGTGATGTCCCAAAGAAAAGAATATATACAGTGTGAAGGACAGAGTTCAGAGACTTTAAAACTGTTCATATTTGAAGATATCTAAGCTACAATGTAACTATAATGACTAATAAAAGATTTTATTGCCAGAGGTGATGACCTATGAGACAGTTTACTTCTGGAGTATTGAAATCTTATTTCATGCTTGTTTGTTGTTGTTGTTTGCTTGTTCATGCATATTTTGCTTAGTCACTGTTTTTCAGGATGTGCAAATTGCACCTAAAAATAATTCCAGAACCTGTTTACTTTTAGTTGGCAAAGAAATAAAAAGAAAAGGAGCTTCAGTGTGAGCTGCTTCCTTGCAAATAATAAAATTATAAGTTTAATATTAGGCTTATGTAATCACCTTTGCAGAATAAAAAGATTTTAATTCCTTCTTTTATCAAATTTAAAATTCACAGTAAAAATAACTTATCTATGCTTATGTAAATATGTGATTTTAAATTAAAAAATATAAAATAAAAGGGACACCTGAATGGTTCTGTTGGTTAAGCATCCAACTCTTGATTTTAGCTCAGGTTGTGATCTCACAGTGGTGAGACATCATGGACGCTTCTTGAGATTGTCTCTCCCCCTTGGCCCCTCTCCCACTTTAGTGCACTCACTTTCTTAGATAGATAGATAGATAGATAGATAGATAGATAGATAATAGATAGATAGATGATAGATAGATAGATAGATAGATAGATAGATAGATAGATAGATAGATAAAATTAGGGTAAAATACTTAAGTTCATCCCTCTTATTCCTTGAAAATGAGACATAAACATATTTTGACTTTTTCCAATTGCCCCTGAAAGTCAAAAACCCAAATAAAGACAACAAAGTCAATGAACTATTTGATTAAAAAGTAAAAGAGGTGCTTACTGTGGCAGCACATATAATAAAATTGGAATGATACAGAGAACATTAGTATGGCCCCTGTGCAAGAACATGCAAATTCATGAAGCATTCCATATTTAAAAAAAGAAAAAGCAATGAAAGAGCATTTAAAAAAGAAATCTCAGGGCCAGCATCAGCCTTCTGTTAGTACTCTCAGGTACCCTCAGAATCCTGAGTAATTAATGCATGCAATCTCATCAAATGTTCCTTATAGTCTATCTACAAACTAAGGAAACAAACCTAACCATTTCCAGCTTGAACTTGGCCTTCAACTTACATAAGCTGTAGCATTTGGAGCTGAGGTGACAGGATTGAAGCCTGCCTTTTTCATAAGTGAGTGGATTCAGACTCCAGGAACTCTGAACTAGCCACTCATGCTTCCCTATCTTTGCTTAATTCATGGAGTCTCTAAAAAAGATAATATAGCAGCTCTTGGTTTTAGAGTCAAAACTTAGTGCCAGTGTTTGGATCAAAGCAGAAGCGTCTTTTACCAATGCCTTTCACCATTTTCCTTCCTCCTATATCACAGACTTCCAGAACATCACAGGTCATTGCTGACAGATATCAAGATCTGAGAATACGTGACCTGTATTCTGAGGTCTCTTCTGACAACGTGATCATACCACACCCACAGTGCATAGAGCCCCACCCACCCCCTTTCCTAGGAATATCTAATGATGTTGAAGAAATCTAGTAGAGAATTCAGTACAAAATTGGTTATAACATGATTCCAAGTTTCATATCCTGGAAGCTAGTTTAAACTTGATCTACATTCAAGCAGGTAATTGAAAGGATTAACAGAGAACCACAGGGAAAGTAATGCTTCCAAATGACTCCCTCTGATTATACTTCTTTCCTCAAACCCCTCTTTCCCTCTCCTAGATCTTCCCTTTTTCCTCTTCTTAATCTTCTCAACAGAAAAAGGATACTACTATGTTGGGTCAAATCCCAGGGCACCATATGGCTATATTTACAAGTGGAAGGAATTACTGTGTTAAAAATTAATGTGTGGCTTTCTCCTTATGGTTTTTGTTGACTCTGTGCCATGGGATTTAGTAAGGTATAGCAGGACCCCCTTAGTACCCTGCTGCCAAGCATTCTGTTATAAGTATTCTCTATCTCCAACTCACCATGTAAGTTCTGGTTTTTCTACTTTCAATTGTAGGTACAGTTATATCCTTGTATCCGATTCTCTTGATTTCTCAGCTACATTATTGCTATGACCTTCTAAGTGGTCGCTCTGCCTCTGATATTTTCTCCAACTTTCTCATTGCAATCAGGGCAAGTCCCATGCTTAAAATTTTCTAGTGGCTCCTGTTGCCTTCAAGATAGCATCTGCATTCTTTAAATATGGGTCCCCATGCTTTCATTTTCTAGTTGCTGTTCACTCCTCCAGCCTTTTTTTTTTTTTCTTTTTTTGGTAACTGCTCATTTTCTATTTACCACACTAGGAGGAAGGATTTACAGAAGTATGTGGCATGATGCATTGTTTTTTTCATTTTATCGAAGGAACACTGTCAGGGTAGCAAAGAAGGCGAGTGACCTAATCTATTCCTGTTAAGTGGACCCAATCATCTGGAAATTCTTGAAAGTGAGATATTACATTGAAGAAGTACATTTATCACTCTTGCTTTGCTGGCCACTTCCTAGAAAAAAGAAGAGGAATGTTCACTACCTACTATAAAAGTAGTCAGTTCTTACAGTCAGGCTGCTTTCAATTGCATGTTCAATTTTCAATTAAATTGCAAAATTACATTTCACAGGAACCTTCCTGGGCTTTGAAGTCCAGGTTAGTACCCTTCTTGTATAGCTGATTATATATAGCTGACATAGCTGACTTTACTTCAATAGCAGTTGTTTATCCTATTGTAATTGCCTATTTAACTAGTTTATTGCACAGAGCAAACTTGTTAAAATACAATTGTAAAACTGCTTTATTTCTACCTATTTACTGCCTTCAGATGTCTTCTGCTGCATCTCTTTCACTGCCCTTTGGCTATACCTCAGGCAGATCCTATAGCTTTAAGTTCATTCTCAGCTATGGAAATCACCTCAACCTCAGGTAACAAAAATTGTAGCCTCAACTAAACTAGAATTTCAGACTCTCATTTAATTCAAAACTGTTTTCCTCCCCGGCTCTGGCCCGAGTTTCAGGTTGGGAGACATGCAATGAAGAATGAGATCATGGTCACCTTTTTACTTCTCCCTCCATTGCTCTTCCTGCCTAGTTGCGGGGTGGTGGTTAAAAGAGAAATGATAGGGGAACCTGGGTGGCTTAGTCGGTTAAGCGTCCGACTTTCGCTTAGGTCATGATCTCGCAGTTCATGGGTTCGAGCCCCGCGTCGGGCTCTGTGCTGACAGCTAGCTCAGAGCCTGGAGCCTGTTTCAGTCTGTGGCTCCCTCTCTCTCTGACCCTCCCTTGCTCGTGCTGTCTCTCTCTCTCTCCTAGAAATAAAAAAAAATAATAATAAATAAAAAAATAAAATAAAAGAGAAACAATAGAGACATACGAGACTGAGGCTGTTGTAACTTGGCTGGTGGTATCTTCTGTCATGTCAGGCATCCATAAGCCAACTCTCTTTCTCAAGAGAGATTGTTGTGGATTCTTCCAAGATTCCCTCTGCGGGCTTTTTACTGTTCTATGCCATTCCCTGAAACACATGGTCACTCTCCTGACTTCGTACAACACCCACTCCCTTCCTAGCTTTGCTCCCACCTCCAGTAGTTTTCCTCCAGCCTTTTTGTTGTTGTTATATTCCTTTTAGCCATGCAGGCAATCTTCGAGACGGCTCTGTCCTTCTTCAGTGTTTGTATGGCTCACAGGAAATACCAAACACCCTGTGCTAGTCAGTAGTAGACGTGCCAGCTGCGTGTCGTGTGGCTCTCTCCTTCTCCTGCTTTATTGGCAGCTCTAGCCAGACCTCTCCACACTTCACTGAGTGACATGGAGCCACCACACTCTACGGGCACATGTTCAGCTCTTCCACCTTCTCTACCACCGTGATTCATAAAGACTGGGACTGTATAAAATCACTAGTATTACTTAGTACCTGCACACAATAGGTATGAAATAAATATTTGTGGATTAATGCATGAATGAATTAGGCTTGATCTGATAGAGAGAAACCAAAAAGCCAATACTCAGTTGATACAGTCTCTGTAGAGGACTTGGATCGTTTTTATCAGAAACGTTTTTAAAAAATTCTTTTCTTTGACCAGCAATCAAAATTCTAGAAATTTATCTTAAGGAAATAACTGGCAAAAATGCTCACTGATATATGTACAACATTTTGTGTAACATTAACAACATGAAAATCATCTGCATGCTCAATAATAGTGGATTGGTTAAATAAGTTATGGTTTATTCAACATTTAGAATGTTATTCTGCAATTAAATTTGTGTGTGTATGTAGACGTACTTCAAGCAGAAAATGACAATGAAAGAAAACGGGGCTCCTGGATGGCTCAGTCAGTTAAGTGTCCAACTTTGGCTCAGGTCACAATCTCCTTATTGGTGAGTGTGAGCCCCACGTCAGGCTCTGTGCTGACAGCTCAGAGCCTGGAGCCTGCTTCAGATTCTACCTCTCTCTCTGCCCCTCCCCCACTCACATTCTGTCTCTATTCTCCCTCTCTCAAAAGTAAATAAACATTAAAGAAAAAGAGAGGAAGAAAGAAGGAGAAAGAGAGAAAGAAAGAAAAAAGAAAGAAAAAACTGTGACTTGCAAACAGATAAACTGCAACACAGTTTAAGTACAAATAAAATATTGTAACATTTTAGGATTCATGTATAAAGCTAAGATAACGGTAGCACTAATAGCTCACAGATCCTTGTATTTCAAAGGCCACTGACTATTCCAGTAAATTGATTATTTATAAATCTGATAAATCTCTGCCCAGACCATGCTTGCTAACTTCTGTCATAAAACCATCTGTCATAAAACCATCCATAAGTAACGCCAGTTCCTGAAAGGGCACCTTTCCTAACTTCCCCATTTAAGACAGACTGAAACATTGTCAAAATGATGCCTCTTGCCCGGCACGTATAATAAGCCCAGTTTTGTATATTCAATGGTTTAGCTTATAAGATCAACAAAATGGGGCACCTGGGTGGCTCAGTCTGTTAAAGTCTGACTTCAGCTCAGGTCATCATCTCACAGTTCGTATGTTAGAGCCCCGTGTTGGGCTCTGTGCTGACAGCTAGCTCAGAGCCTGAACCCTGCTTCAGATTCTGTGTATCCCTCTCTCTCTGACCCTCCCCTGCTCACCCTGTCTATCTTGCTTTCTCAAAAATAAATAAAACATTAAAAAAAATTTAAAAAGATCAACAAAGTAACTAAATTTTCTCAATTCTTTCTCTTTTTTTTTTTTACTACAATATAAAAAACTTTTATCCTGAGTATTTTCATGCTATTTTTTTTACCTCCATTTGGAGTATTTGCATGACAAATACCTTTTAAATTATGGAATAAGTTGTTTAAATTACTGAATATTCTGAATTTTTCAGCAAATTAGGATTTGCACAGTTATAAAAGTCTTATCAATTTTATTTCATTCCCAGAGAATATAAAGGTATTTATTTTTAAGGTACTTCATTAAAAACATTCTTTCCACAAATCAGAGTAATTAAAGATATTTCAAAAATAAATTTTGTATGCCATTGGAGGTCACGTTTCATTGGGTACGCCATAGATTATAAAGATGAGCTTCTTTGCAAGCTCTGTTTTTAGAAGTTTTAATTTGCCTCTATCATCAAAACCTAAAGTTTAATATTCCTTTTGTGGAATACTTTGATTAAAGATTTCCAAAGAATTTTGAATAAAATATAACCAAACTTTACAAGACAAATTCATATTAAATTAAATGTCATATCAAATTCATATTAAATCTCCCCAAACTTTAGGACACCTAGTTTGTTCTGAAAGTAGATATTTAAAGGTTTAATACCTATAAACTTCATTTTAGGATGGTTAACAATGAGATAAATTATGTATTCATGGTCTGAAGTATTGTTTTATTCAATATTGATTTCATCACATTTTGTGATTCCGTTCCATTACACTACAACTGTAAGTGTATTTTTA